CTTCATAAAAAATAGTTTTGAAGAATCTTTTGGGATCATAGTTTTCTAAGACTAACAAAAATGACACCTTTAGATACTCAACGCTTCTACTGATCTTGGTTCTGATACATGGGTTCTTCATGAAACTTTCAAGATATATTGGAAGTACTGCCACTAGTAAATATCCAAAGTTTTAGCTCATTTCTTCATATTAATTTTGAGATATTTCAATTTTAAGGTCCAAAAATTGCACTTTTTCAATGCAAAAGTTCTCCCACGCCTTACGTGCAAAATGACCCGGGACGGTTTTAAATTATAGAAGACATCTGGCTTGAGCTTACTACGGTGTTCGTTCTTTTAATTTCTCATTAGTTGTCTAGTAAGCGAAAATTTATTGCAACATGGGTAAGAGACTGATTAAAAATGCCTAAAAATGGATTAGTCGGCTACCATAGAAGACTTATTCTGATCTTTTCTTCAACGATACGATATTAAGTTTTCATTCTTGTTTTGTTTGATAGAATGTATCTATCTTAAGGTTACTACGATCGAGGATTCCTTATTTTCTTCTTTCTTTATAGAAATAATTCTATCATTGAAATTTGATATCCATTTTTAGGCATTTTTAATCAGTCTCTTACCCATGTTGCAATAAATTTTCGCTTACTAGACAACTAATGAGAAATTAAAAGAACGAACACCGTAGTAAGCTCAAGCCAGATGTCTTCTATAATTTAAAACCGTCCCGGGTCATTTTGCACGTAAGGCGTGGGAGAACTTTTGCATTGAAAAAGTGCAATTTTTGGACCTTAAAATTGAAATATCTCAAAATTAATATGAAGAAATGAGCTAAAACTTTGGATATTTACTAGTGGCAGTACTTCCAATATATCTTGAAAGTTTCATGAAGAACCCATGTATCAGAACCAAGATCAGTAGAAGCGTTGAGTATCTAAAGGTGTCATTTTTGTTAGTCTTAGAAAACTATGATCCCAAAAGATTCTTCAAAACTATTTTTTATGAAGAATATTGTCTTACTAAGAACTACAAATTCTGAAATTTTCAGCTTCATCTAATCATTTTTCGTATATAATATCAGGTATTCAATGGAATATCCTGCAGTGTCCCAGAATTTTTGGCCACGGGGCTAATTTTGTAACTTATATAACTTGTTACAGAAACATTCAATTCTAATGCTATAACAGTATATGAAAGGTCGCTATTAAATGTGGGTGTGGGTGTGAGTCTTCCTCTTCTATCCACCCACACCCACACCCACACCCACACTCTTGGGTCATCAACTACTATATGCTGCGGGTACCCTTGGGTTATTGTATACTATATATTGGAAGTACCCTTGGGTGATCAACTACTGTATATTGGGGGTACCCTTAGGTCGTCATTTACTATATAGTGGGTATATCCTTGAGTCATGAACTACTATATACTGGAGTACTCTTGGCTCATTAACGACTATATAATGGGGGTACCCTTGGGTCATCAACTACTATATAATAGGAGTACTCTTGAATCATTAACTATTATATGATGCGAGTATCCTAGGGTCATTATGTAGTATATAATGGTGGTACTGTTGGATCATCAACTATTCTACAATACTGGCTCTCTTAGCCCATCAGCTACTATATAACGAAGGATCCGCACAATAGTTCATGTATTATATTACACCGCTGTTCGCATGTCAACGTAGGCTATATAACGGTAGCGCTCACTCCCCTTCATTAAGTATATAACAATGTAATCGAAAATTCGTTATAAACTTGATACCGAAGTATTGAAAGAGAGATGTAGGCAACATAAGAAAGTGTGGAGAGCTCGTCAACATGTATGGAAAGGGTGGAACAAGCGGTCTCGCAGTGTCATCTGGTAGTAGTCTGTGTTTGCGATGGTGTTGTGTGTAGTGTTTCTTTTTATGGTTTTCGCTAGATATCTCGGAGTAGTGACTGTATACCGGTAATGGCTTTAAAGAGTTATAATGCATAGCCCTTGAAGTCCTATCATTTGATTTTTCGTACCTTAAAATTGGCTATAATGAATGTGGGAGCCAGCATTCTTCACCAGTATACAAAATCGTTCCTCTCATCGTCATTTTATACCTTTCCTTTATGACTAGCCGGAGGTGATCAGCAGCTTTCTAATTTTGAGCCCCTTAATTGCACCACGGGATATAGTTTTAGTAATTCTTAGCAGTTATCAATTGTTGTTAAGTGATTGGGTATCAAAATAGTATGGTCTGGCAATAGTGACTATATTCTCAATGTTTCCCATTTGTTGAGAAACCCTTCCAGATCCTTATACAGTTCAGAACCGCAAGGACTTTGTCAAGTTTTCAACAGGAATCTGCCTCAATTTCTGATAACTCCTGTTATTGCTTAAGAATATTTTGCTTGGACAGGCTCCTAATACCATTTCGTGAGGTTTCTACCCAGACATTTTTCGTAGTTGTTCAAACATGATGCTTTCAGAATTCGGCACTGATTCCTTTGAGGAACATTCGAAGAGTAAGAGCGGTAATTCTCTCAAGATTTTGTCGAGTTTTTGTCAGATGCAGCTAGAATCTTCATACAAAGATCCACTCTACTTCATACATAAATCAAGAAGGACTATTAATCCTTAAAAGCCGAAGAGCCTTATCGTCACAAATTCAAAACATTTACTACTACAATATAAGTCCCGAAACGTCAACCCACAGTTCTTGGTGAACTACGAGAAAGTCAGTTTAACAGCCGATAGACAGAAATGAGCATCAACTTCAGGTAGTATATGATCATTTATGAGTATCTCTAAGATAAACGTCACGAATCCTCATTAATATCCACTTTCTGCAGTCACCGAAAACTTATTAACATTCCAATTATATAGTAGGAAATAACCGATAGCTACCTCATCAGGCAATACTCCTTGAACTACTAAGACCCATCTCCTTATATAGCAGCTGACGGCTTAAGGATAGCACTCCTACATCCTAGTGAATGATCAACGACAAGCCTCCTTATGCACAAGTTGATTGTACAAGGATATCCTCATTACATAGTACTCAATGACCCCGGCGCATTGCCACTATACAGTATATGATGACCCAACGGTACCGCTAATATACACTAGTTCATCATCCAAGGATACCCTCCATATATAATGGTTCATGACCCAGCAGTACCAGAAATATATGGAGTACATGATGACCCAAGAGTACCCCAACATATACTAGCTCATAACCCTTCCGTAGCGCCTTCCTACAAGTGGATTATCACAAATCGACCGCATCTTTTATACATCCCATGCACAGTTATGAGTAATCCCCTGAATCTTCATTCACCTTTCCGAATTTTTCACACAAATTTCCTTTTACAGTTAAACGTTCACTTAAACATAAGAATTTTCAAGTCACTGTTCAAAGTATTATCACTTTCACCTCAAAATATAAACTTCCAAATGCAATATTTTGCCTACACAGTTACACCTAACATAGTACTATAAACCTTAGATTTAAAGTTACAAGCTTCAAGTGCACTACTATACCTCCAACGTTTAAACTGTAAACTACCGACATAGACTTTACCTTTAAAATAAAGTTCAGAGGCCATACCAAATCGTCACAAAATCAACTCACTTTCGCTCAACGACGAAAATGACCATTATTGCTCACTATTCATACTACACCACCTAATCACTTGACAGGTTCGCAGAAACACTGCGATTGTCACAAAACCAGCTCGGATTTCCCCGACGCTGACAATGAGCACTACTGCTCACTTTTCATTCTACCTCTCCATACGTGTGGAGAAGTAAGGATAATCATTGAGATCGCCACAAAATCAGCTCACTTTTGCTCCACTCTGAAAATGAGCATTACTGCTCACTTTTGATTCTCCCTTTCTGAACGCGTAGAGAAGGTAGAAGAATCATTGAGATCGTCGCAAAATCAGCTCATTTGTGCTCCACTCTGACAATGAGCATTACTGCTCACTTTTGATTCTCCGTCTCCCAACGCATGGAGAAGTTAAGAAAATCATTGGAATCGTCAGAAAATGAGCATTACCACACACTTTTGATTTTCTGTGGTCAATTGCAGTTCAAACTTTCGAAAATGGTTAATTGGTCAGAAAATTAGATATGTTGGTCAAGGAGTGTGAAAATGATTATTATTACTTTGTTTTGTGAGTGCGTTTCGGTGATATGTCTGTAGGTGAACTTTATATTTTTTCAGTGGGAAATGCTGTCGGTTTCGTTGCATTTTGGAGTTGAGGGAGTCAGTTGGTGGTGTTCTGAATATGGGAATGTAGGAGAGCGGGGTGATTTTTTTGATTGTTGTTTTTTTTTAGGGTTTTAGTTGACTTTTGGATCAATTGGATTTGAACTATATATGTATAGAGATATGTATTGCGCGAGTGATTTTCGTGTTGGAGTGTATTTGGAAGCTTCTCCAGGGTTTTTGTCTTATATCAGGTGATTGCTTTTTACTGTAGTGATTGACTTTTTGAATTACTGTCGGTAACGGATTTTGATTATGTGTTGTCGGATCTGGTTGTCGGATTTGGTGAAGTCGTTTGAATGGAGCTGGTCGCTTCTTGTTTTTTCCGATGTGTTCCGGTGCCTGGTATAGGAAGTGTTTTAACGGATAGTATTGTCTTGGGATTGGGTTTAATACGAAGAATTCCGATCATTTCTTGCCATGGAAATGCTATTGGTCATATCGGATGCGACGGGTTTTAGATGTTGGACCCTCTCGTTTCTGTCGAGCATAGTCCTGTCGGATCGCATTGAATCTGGTAGACGGATGTGACCGGGAAATACTTGAGGTCATCGTATTACACCGGAAAGCATCCGATCGGTTTCGATTACCGAATGTAAGCAGATTTTAAACCCGTCCGACAAGATCCGGTCCCTCGCGTTTCTCATGGGTAGAAAATATGTGAAAAATACGAGTTAGGAGCTTGGATAATGTCGGTATTCTATGTAATGAAAGACTATTTAATAATATGTAGCAACTATTAACAGCTATGAAAAATTACCGGACATCTGTTCAAGGACTTAGGTGTTCTCTTATTTTAGGTGCAGCTACGGCGGAGGAATCATCCTCAACAGTGTTAGTCTCACCTACATTAAGAGCTGAACTTGATTATTTTGTGAAGAACAATGTCGACGACTGGGATTTCCACGAAAAAGCAATATTGGATGCTGATTTAAAAGTTATAGCTGGTGCATTAACAACAAATACAAGTTGCACGAGTCTTGATTTACGTCACAATAAAATTACTGATGTTGGTACACACTATTTGGCCGAAGTGTTATCTGTCAATTATACGGTAAAGGCGCTCCTACTAAGCGATAACAACATAGGTGACATTGGCCTCGGATATTTATGTGACGCAATGACTGATCCAAAAGAATCACTCAAATTATTGTATATCAATAAAAATGGAATAACTGACCATGGCGTAAGAGCACTAGCTGAGAAGTTAAAACTTAATAAATCATTAGTTGATCTTTCACTCAATTATAATCATATTGGTGATGATGGTGTTCAAGCTCTGTGTAATGTATTAAAATCTGATAACACAACTCTGAAACGTTTGCATCTGCAGGGTAATAAAATACAGGACAGCGGCGTTGATGCAATCATTGAAATGATTCAATCACACAGTGCATTAGAGGAATTCAAACTTGGACATAATCAAATATCAAGTGAACCTCGAAAACAATTAGAACGTACAGCTGAAACTCGCAAATTACTTCTCGATCTGTCTCTATAACATTGTTGTTTCAATCATTAGTTTCTGTTGGCAAAGTGAATTTTTTCACATTTTATTGTATACGCCATCTGCATATCTGTAATAATACACCTTCTATCAGTAGGGTGTGGGTGTGGGTGTGGGTGAGAGTATGGCTTTGGCTCTGGAGATATGTGGGTGTGGGTCAAGAAAAGAACTACACTCAAGCTGAGAGCCACATCCATCCACACTCACACTTATACGTACACCTACAGACACATTTATACCCACACCCGCGCCCCACATCCGCACCCGCATCCCACACCCACACCCACCCGCACCCGCATCCCACACCCACACCCACCCGCCCACACCCATACCCACACCCACACCTACACCCTATATATAAACAATATACCGGCAAATTATGGAAATAAATAAAAATTTGTATATGGTAAATATCATAATGATTCGAGTAGATGTATATGGGAACCGGAATGATGAGCACGGAAGCTTAAGCACGGAAACTTAAGCACAGGAACGATAAGCACGAGAATGATCAGCACGGGAACGATAAGCACGAGGAACGTTAAGCACGGGAATGTTGAGCAACAAAAAGTTCAGCACGAAACAAACTTAAAGGCATGGATGTAAGTGTTGGTGTGGAGTTGTGCGTTGGTGTAATTCTGATCTTCTGTGTAGACGTGGACAACATGGTCCTCGACCCGATCTCGCAGGGTTCGAGATCAAAAACGATTGGTTCCGCTCATCTCGAATTCTGTGCCATCTACAACACATTCACAAGGGTGTGGGTGTGGGTGTGGGTAGGTACGGGTGTTAGTGTAGGTGGAGTGTGGATGTGGGTGTGGGTGTGGGTATGAGTGTGGGTGTAGGTGTGGGTGGGTACGGATGTTGGTGTAGGTGGGGTGTGGATGTGGGTGTGGGTATGAGTGTGGGTGTGGGTGGGTACGGGTGTTGGTGTAGGTGGGGTGTGGATGTGGGTGTGGGTGTGGGTGTGGGTGTGGGCGTGGGCGTGGGTGTGGGTGTGGGTGGGTACGGGTGTTGGTGTAGGTGGGGTGCGGATGTAGGTGTGGGCGTGGAAGGTTTAAAAGAAGATCCACACCT